CAAACCTCAGCCTCCACACCTCTGAGATCAGAAGAACTAGATGGTACCCAGCTACCAGTAATGACTGCTCTGAAAGTGATCTGGATAGAGTGGGAGAAAAATGTGGCATGATACAATCATAAAATAGACCAGCCTTACTGATAGAATTTGATAGAACCCCCCCAAACCAGGGCCTTAGAGACCCTTCAGGCATTGAACTGAACTCGTCCTTATGCCTCAACTTTCAGCCAAACAATAGACTGGCCTATAAGGTGAATGGAGTCCTGGCTTGGCTCTGTGGGATAAAGCACTGGACTACACGGTCAGTTTGAACCACAAGGTTGGAGGTTCAAACTCACCAGCTGCTCCTTGGAAACCTTATACAGGATCACTGTGTGTTGGAACCGACTCTATGGCACTTGGCAACAATAACAACATAAGGTGAACAATGACCTCTTAGAAAAATCAACCATAAGAGATCAAAAGGGAAGCATTTTCCCAGGGAGAAAGCTCAGAGTGCATGACGGAATAGAAAGAAGAAACGGGGAGACAGGGAGGAAGTCGGAAGAGTACTGTTACATTATGAGGCATGTCATTCATGTCACAAAACACAATGTGTAAGAGTTGATGAATGTCAAAGCAAATTTGCTCTGTGAGCTTTCACCTAAATCATGATGCAACATTTTTTAAAAGAAGAAAAAGATTTGCAGCTTTGGAAACCCGACGGGGCAGTTCTCCTCTGTCTTACAGGGTGGCTATGAGTCAGAATTGACTTAATAACAGGGGGCTGCTTTTTGTTTGCTTTATTTTTCTGGTTTGGGGACTTAATTTCATAAAACTAGGAAGTAGCAGAGCTGGGATCTGACCCCAGACTCTGTGGTTCCAGAGCTTGCATATGCAACTGTTTCACCTGTTCTTGTCCTCAGCCCAGGCATCTCGACCCTAAGCAGTCCCTGCCTAAACTGTCACTCATGGCAGTCCTAATTCTTGCAAACTTGAAATTATGCTTTATAAATATATCATTAAGGTTGCTATTTGTGTGACTTTTGAAGTAATGCAGCACTCCCCCCTCCCACTTAGTTCAAAAACTGTACTAAGTTAAAAAAAATTTTGTACTTTTTGAGTTGGCAGGTCTAGGGCATTGGCCCCAGGTGAGTTGATAAATGGACAACCTCCACCCTTTGTCAGTACTTGTGGGCATCACATTGTTGTGGCTACGCTGAAAGATTCAGTAGTGATTCCATCACTAGAACCTTGCTATAGTATCAGGCAGTTAGAACTGAAAGTCTTCTTTATATCCTCTAACAATGACATCTGAGTGCCGGTTAAATGGCGGAGCTTGCAGCGGTGCTCAAAACAGGGAAGCAACATCAATAGCTTTGGACCAAAGGTGAGAGGTGCTAAATTGTCACAGAGAAGGCCAAACGCACCATGATACCTGCTGCTGCCAATTTAGGGACGAGTCTTCTGCAGAATATTGGAGTAGCACTAAGCACAAGAAAAGCAACAATAAAGCTGAAAATACGCTTCTGTGGTTCCAGCTTTACGCACACTAGGAAACATCCCTCCTACTTGACATGAATTTCTTTGGGAAGATTAGTGTCATAGGAATTTGGAATTAAGTAACTGCCTGGTGCTATAGGCTCCTAACTGGTATTCCTCACTCTCCTACTACTGAGAGATGGATTCTGCTAACAGAAGGTGGATCAAATCATTCTGCTCGAAAAGCATATGCTTTCCAAGGCTGTAAATCTTTATGCGAGCAGAAAATCTCATCTTTCTTACATGGAGCAGTTGGTGGATTCGAACAGCTGATGGATTCAAACTGCTGACATTCGGTTAGCAACCCAACGTATAACCCACTGTGCTACTAGGAGTAGTTTGTAGTTCCCTCTTATTGCAATTGTTGTTAAATGCTGTCAAGTTGGTTCCAACTCATAATTACCATGTATAGGGTTTCTGAGGAGCGGCTGGTGGATTTGAACCACCAACCTTAATATGCAAAACAACCTTGCCATCTAGTGCATTATCCTGCAGTGCCACACCAAGATTCCAATAGAGGACATATCAGATATTAAACTGATAAGAACTGATATTATGCTTGATCTTAGCCAAAAGTCTGATAATAACTCCCAATATACAAGATGTTCCACCAGAGCAGGGCTGTGTCTCCCAAGTGTGGCTATGATTCAAGTACCACCTGGAAGCTCACACCAACCAGGATATACCTGTGCGTGCTGGTCAGCACCTGATAGATGGGTGAGGTCTTTATGTACTGGGGGCGGAGCTCTGAGGGGGCTTGATATATTTCCAAGTCCTGGGTGCCTACCAGGAGTGGCGGTAGATCAGTGCCCAGCACATAGCCTGCCTTCGTTACATGTCCATGGTACATAGGGACGAATGGTCTTTAGGGGTTCTCTTTTAACCTCAGGGACGAAGACCAGAGTAAATATGCTTCTGAGAGCTTAGAAGATTCTGGTCTGAGTTCCCTGGTCTGTTGTTGTTGGGGACACTCAATTCTAACTCATAGGGAGCCCCTGTGACACCGTACAACTTCTCCGTAGGATTTTCGTGGCTGTAATTTTTATGGAAGCTGATTGCCAGGTTTTTCTCCTGTGGTGCAGCTGGGTGGGTTTGAACTGACAATTTTTTTGGCTCGTAGCTGAGTGCTTAATCATTGTGCCATCAGGACTCCTATTCCCAGACTAGGAAAATGACCTCTAAAATTAAAACCAAGTCTCTCCCCAACCACCTCAATGTTTTACATTTATCCATGGTCGAGTTTCTTAACTTTGTCACTATTGATTCTTTGTTGTGGGATGTTGTCATGCATTGTGTGATGTTTAGCAGCATCCCTGGCCTCCACTCAGTAGGTGCTAGTAACCCCTACCCTCCAAGTCACTACAATCAAATATACAGAGACATTAATGAATGTCCCCTGAGTGGGTGGTGGTGGGGAAGCTAAATCACCCCCATTTGGGAATCACTAGTCTTATGCAGCAGTTCTTACCCCAGGTGCACATTAGAATCACCTAAGGAACTTACAAAATCACTGCTGCTTGGATCCCACTTTGAAACATTTAGATCTATACCTATTCCTTACTTACCAACTATCTTATTTTCTGACATTTCCCATTTGCAATGATAGTAAAAAAGCGATCTGATTATTTTGTGCATTAATGATGTACATCTGGCAGTAACGAATGCTGAGGTAGTAGTAATGCTAACTGTGATGGTTTTGTGTCAAGCACGCTGAGCCACAATTCCCAATGACTTGGCAGTTATGTAATGATGTAATTTGGCAGTTTTGTAAGGATGTAGTCATCCTCCATTTTCACATAACGACCTGATCTTTGGAATCTAACCATGTCAATAATTGCGGGTGTAGTTGGTTTGGGGCAGTGGTCTGGACCTAAAGGATTTTGAAAGTTTTCCAGGAGGTTGTAATATGCAGAGAGGACTGAGAACTACTCTAGTTCTGTAAGTTTCCTATGCATTACTATCTGGACACCCCACCAGTGCAGGAAGGGAGGTGTGATTATTGTGGCTTTCTGACTGGAGAAAAGGGACTGAGAGATGTGTGTTTCACTCTGCCCATCTGACTCCTAAGCCAGCTCACTTTCCAAGGGTCAGGGCAGAGTTTGGGCAGATTGTGTGGTGCTGACCAAGAGGGGTCCTTGGTCTGAGGCTTCCCTTTCCTCACTGTTTTCCCTATCCATAGTCTTCACCTCCCACCTCTTCTTCAGTTTCCTGGTGTTACTGTACGTGAAGCCATTACGAACAATCATTTATACATAAGGCTTCTTTCCATCTTCTAAGGAGAACTGCAAGTTAAGCCTCATTTATAACCGTGATAAGCACTGAACTACTAACCCCAAGGCTGGAGGTTCACACCAACCAACCAATCCTTGGAAACCCTATACAAGACTGCTATTGAGAGAGGAGGCCCCCACCCATAGGCCCCTGAGGCCTGGCTATAAGATCTTGAGGCCTAGGAATGAGGGAGGAGGCCTAGGTCACATACAAGAGAAACTAACAGCTTCTTCTGCTTTTGTAAAAAGCCGCTTTTCTAGGAACCACAAATGAGAAAGTAACATGGTGGTCTCACCACTCAGCCCTATGTAATCCTATATAAAGCTATTTCAGGGAGCTCAGCATTGGGGATGTTAGCCTACGGATGCTCCACCGGCAATAAAGCCTCTTCCTCTAATGACATTGGTGTTTGGGCCTCGTCTTCCTGCAACACTATGAGTTGGAACTGATTGGATGGCACTTTACAACAACAACAACATAACAGTGAAAAGACGATTTTCAGTCTATAAACAGGTGGGGGGAGTGTTGTACGGTGGGGACAGGGTGTAGTTATGACACCTGTAAAATCAAATCCAATACTTAATTGTCTTTGATTAAAGTTCATCTCATTCTATCTTGGGGTTAAAAATTCTGATCAGTTCCATTTCATTTCCAATTAAGTTATTGAAATTATTGCACATGATACAATTGTTAAACTGTTCTCGTTGATCTTCTTAACTAACCTCTAAGGTCCTGGCTGTGTGTGGCACTGTGAGATAAAGCACTGGACTGCAAGGTCCGTTTGAACTGCAAAGTCGGTGGTTCAAAGTCACCAGCCGCTCCTTGGAAACCCTATAAAGGGTTGCTATGAGTCAGAACCGACTCAAAGATACTAGACAACAACAACAAGGGTGGAGGGTTTCTTCTGTTATGCTTTGACTGTGACCGGATCCGTTGTCACACTTAATTCACAGATGATTGAGTATCTGCTGGTGGGTGGCTGAGTCTCTCTCTTCTGCCCAGGGTGACATAAGAGAAGTCAGCCTCACAAGTCCAGAAGAAGAAGTCAACACAGTGGGGATTTAAAGCAGAGATCACTTGTATTTGGGTGGCTTTATTTTATGAAAAGAAAAAGACAAAGACAAGGGCCATCTCTTCTAACAGATGCCTGCGGGGCAGGAATGGGCACCTCTCCTTCCTGGAGGTGTGGTTGGGCTGTCTGCTGGGCCTCACTGTACCTTCTTGAACACTTGCTTGCAGACTACACCTTGCACTCTCATTTCCTGAAACATAAACAGATGCACTTCATTGGCTAGGAAAAGTTCACACTTGCGGCTTGGTGTGTCTAGGACAGGGACTATGAAAATCCTCAGTGGCTGCTAATTTCTCCCAAGAGTTGGAGCAAACTAACCAATGCCTTGGAAAGTCCATTGAACTGAACCAGTGGAGAACAGACTCTGTTGCAAACTATACATGGAACTGGCTGGGGAAGAGATGTGGCTCAAAGCTCACCAGCAGGGCCTCTGATGTGTCCTTGTCAATAGACCAAGTGCTCTAAGACCCTCAGGCCTAAATCCAGGGTGGAGTCTGTGCCTGGATTTGGGAGCTCAAGTAGATTACCACAAGGTAAGGGACCGTGAACTAGTGCTGTGGTTCTGAGCTTTGAAAAGCACCTGGAACACATTCTGGAAAGATAAGACTGCCACTGAGTTGATTCTGACTCATAGTGATCTTGTATAGGTTGGCAGTTCGAACCTATCCAGTGGCACCATGGAAGGCAGGTCTGTGATCTGCATCCATCACAGTTACCAAGAAAAGACTGTAGAGCTCAGCTCGATTCTGTAACACATGAGGTTCCCATGCGTCAGAACCGGCTGGATGGCAACAGTGTTTTTACCAGGAATCTGTAGATATATTGTTTCACAGTGGACAGAGTGGAAGCAGTTTTGACATGAGACCCAGGTTGGAAGGCAGGGTGAGTGGGACCCGCCCACTGCAAACTGAAGAAGACAACTCTCCTCCTAACCTAGACTGAAATGATTTTCAGAGCTTACAGGATTCTCACCGGCTCTAGTCTTCCATAGTTTGGCATGGTGAAAATACTGAACATTTGGGAACACACTTAGGGTCTGTGCCTTTCTAATGTGCAATCATTCTGCTTAATCTACACTTCCTGAATCTACATGTCCTCATCTCCAATTGTTGTTGTTGTTAAGTGCCTTCGAGTCGATTCCGACCCATAGTGACCCTGTACAGGGTTTCTGAGGGTGTAAATCCTTACGGGAGTAGAAAGCTGCATCTTTCTCCCGCGGAGCGGCTGGTAGTTTCGAACCGCTGACCTTAAGGTTCGCAGCCCGATTCATAACCACTACGCTACCAGAACTCCTTCCTCATCTCCAATACAGGTCAATAATAACAGTACCTGGCCCATAAGGTTGCTGAGGGAATAGGAAGAGTAAAAATCGCAAAAGGATCTAGCTCAGTGCCTCATACTTACTGGATACACTCCTCACTACCTCTCTCTGATTGGACAACTCCTAGACTCTGAAAACTCATGTAGAAACTGGACCAGATCTTCCGGGCCCAGTCCATCCAGCTCAGCAACCTACCAGGTGCAGTTCGTCGCCCTCGATCCACTGGGTCCAGCCGCGCCCCTCTTTCTCACCCTTCTGCACGCACTCGATCTTGTCCCCATCCCAGTTCACCGTGGTCTGCCAAACAAGAATCACAGCTGTTAGTCCTAAACAGCAATGCCTAGGGCTGTGGAGTAGGCAGGCTCCTAACCTTGATAATCAAGGATGTCAATTTCATTATAGATTTGTAGCCCAACACTCCCTGCCTACCTCATGCTCTAATTATAGACTGCAAATCAGCTCTAAACTTCATGGAAACCTTCATAAATGTCATTTAAAAGGGTAGTTAGCAAGGAAAACACCACTGGGACAGGCTCTCAGTGCCATGGCAGAGAATGGGGCTGGGAAGGGAGGTGGGACCCAGGTGTGAACAGGGTGAAGTGGCTTTCCTGCCTGCAACTAAGGAGGGCCAGACCTCTCAGAGTACCCTGCCCACTCCCAGACATTTCATCCTAGGTACTGGGACACCAGAAAGACCCTATCCCTGCCCATCATCCCTTGGGGAGAATGAGCGATGGCAGCTACTTGCTGACTGCTTGCTCTTCAGGCTCTGTTTGCTGTCTCTAAATCCTTGTGACCATTCATTTGAAGCACAGATTGGTGCCTCCAGTTTACAGATCACATCAAGGGCCTTGCCAAAGTCATCAAGATGGTCAATGGAAGTGTCAGATTGAAGCACAGACCTATGGGATATCAAAGCCAAAGGCCCCTGCCTAAATGTCGAGTGTCACCAGAGCTACAGACCAGAGACTACAGGAGTCCAGGCAGGTGTCCAGGGATGGGGAGGCTTGGGGTACAGACACCAGGCACATTGCCTTGAAGGAGAGGAAAACAGAACAATGAGGCGCTGGGAAAGACTGGTCTGTTAGGGACCGTGCAATGAAGACCCAGAAATGTGACATCACAAACACTCTCAGGGAGCCCATCAGGTGGGCTCCTGGAGCTGTGGGGGAGGATCCTGTTCCCCTCCCACCTTTGTGTCCTCACATCTCCCTGAGCTCTGTGTGCCCTGCCAGGGAGGAGGAGGTCCAGCTATGCCTATGGGGTAGATTCACAGACTTGTAGGAGCAGCAAGGGCCCACTCATGAACTCAGGATTCACAATGATGGGATTTACAGGTCAGAGAGTGCTGTCTCCCCAGCAAAAACTATGAACTTAATGTCTAGATTGTGACTTCTCTTTCCCTGTATATAGGACTGGGCCATTCTGCATGGGGCAGTTCCACAGTATGAGCCACTGAATGAGCCAGAACTCAGCCTGTGCCTTGCTCAGAATGTGTTCAGAGAAAATCCATTCCTTCTCTGGGTCCCATTGTTTTTGGATCTCATTGTCATGAGGGGGTGCTATTAACTCAGAAGTCTTGTCTTTAGAGAGCTAAGGTTCTCAGATTCTTGTGTCCTCTGTCATGCTCAGTGGAGATTCAGGGCAGTCAGGATTTGGGAGAGGAGAAACCTGGGAAATGGGTGTAGAGTGAGCAGGGACACTCTGTACAGAACACCTCCCGTTTCCCCTTCCTTTCTGGGCTTGCTGATCACTACTGCCCTCTGCTGTCAGGATGATGAGTCACACAATGGAGGCAGAAGGGGCCCTAGAGGAACTCTACCCTCTGCTCCTGAGACTGTTCCCAGAGAGAAATGGAGCACAAGAGGATTTGAGGCATGAACTGAAGGCTTCTCTCGCTGGTCCAGAGACTCCACCAGGGTATACATCCAACCCCAAGCCAGAGAGACTCCAGTCAGAACTCAGTGTGGTCAATGTCTGAAGAGATGGATCATGGGGAAAGACCACTAATGACCACAGGTCACGCATAAGACAAGATGTCCATCTACCGGGTACCTTGCCCATGACAAACCTGAGAATAGACGTGGAAAACTCAGACAGTCCTGCACTTGGCTTACTCATCAGCTCATCAGCTGACCTTCACCCAGATGCCTACTTTTTACATACTAAGAGCATCTGACTTAATCAGAGGCACAAGAAGGAATCGCTGGTTCTCAATTATGATATACACACTCAGCCTCTACTGGAAACATCCCAATTACTGAACATATTCACACCCTCTGCATTGGAAAATACAAAGAAAGCTCAAAGAAGAAACTAAATCATAAACAGAATACCTGTGCTTTCCTTTCTCCAGAGATAAGTACTCTTAACAGTTTGGGGCTTTTTTTTTTTTTATCTATCCAAGTTTCTTTTCTTTTTTTAAACAAAATTAAAATTTCATCATTTCCTTTTCATAAATTAGGATTGCATCATTGACAGTTTAGTATCTGTGATCATTTAACTTACTTATGATCAATTTTCCACTTCAACAAATATTGTCCGTAAACATTAAGGATGACTGTCGGAAACCCTGTACAGGGTCACTATGAGTTGGAACTGACTCCACGGCATACCACCACCACCATATAATTTGTGGGGCTCACAGAAAACTGAAAATGAGATGCTACTTGTTCAAAAAAGTATTAAGAGAGCAAGAGCAGAGTGTTAAATCCAGAGAGGCCTGGTCAGAGATCGCTGCCCATGAGCTGACCTTCCTAGTATTGCTTTATACATGTATACTATCATTTAGCCAATTACTTGGACATTATGCTTGTTTACTCCATTATGTTGTACTTGTTAAATGCTGTCGAGTTGATTTCAACTCATAGGGGGACCCTGTATGAGGTTTCTGAGGAGCGGCTGGTGGATTTGAACTGCCTACCTTGTGGTTCTCAGTCCAGTGCTTATCCTAGAGCACCACCCCAGAAGTCTGTTATTGTTGTTAAGTACCGTGGAGTCGGTTCCGACTCATAGTAACCTGGCACAGGGTTCCTGAGGCTGTAAATCTTTACGGGAACAGAACCCTCTTTCTCCCATGGAACCGCTGGTAGTTTTGAACTGCTGACCTTGAGGTTGGCAGCCCGACTCGTAACCACTATGCTACCAGAGCTCCTTAGAGTCTGTTATAAGCTACTGTAAATCAGCCTTCCTTGTAAGCGTAATTTTCAATGCATTGTTTTATTAGAACTTCCAGAGATGAAACAGCTATATCGAAGAGTGCATATTACTAAGACTTTTGATAAGTATTGTCACGTTGCACTCCAGAAAGCTCACACTTGTTTGTATAACAATGTGAAAGTGACCCTTTCTAGGTCATGTGGCATCTTCTAATAGGGGTCATTTGGATATAAACAGTATAATACCTTAACCCCAAAGAAGGCGAAAAGCAGCCTTGCAGGCATTATGAGGGGCCAAGGGATCTGGCAAGACTACTTGAGTGTCAAGTAACCTCTTTTTGAACCCTAAAAATCAGACCTCTCAAAGGAGAGGCTTCCTAACACATGAATACCGTATCCACTTCCAAACGAAGCACTTTCTGAACTCCAAGCTCCTGTAGATTCTGATCCTGGGTCTGTAGGGTAGAGCAAAGACTAGTCTTCTCTGTCTTGGATGTTGTTGTTTTTGTTGCTGTTGCTGTTAAGAGCTGTTGAGCCAGTTCCAACTCATAGTGACTCTGTATAGGGTTTCCAAGAAGTGGCTGGTAGGTTTGAACCACTGACCTTGTGGTTGCAGTCCAAGGCTTATTCTATAGTGCTACACCAGGAACTCCATATTGGATGTAGATAAGATGAAAAGCTCAGAGAAGGTAAGTGAACCAGCTGAAGCATTTGGACTGGAACGTGGGATTTGTATGACTCAGTGCCCTTATGTTTCTCAGTCCAATTGACCCACAGAATCCTGAGAATAAATTGTTATTGTTTGGGGCTGGTTTGTTACACCACAGCAGATAACGGAAACATTTACTTTCTGCTGTTTTTCTGAGGGATAGAGAAAACATAAGCAAAATGCATAGGAGGCACTAGATAATGTTACTATGATACCACCCTTGTGCCCAGCCCAGAGCTTGGATTTTGATGAGGTTTGCTCATTGACTGGAGTCCCTGGGTGGTACAGACAGCCCAGTTCTTGACTACTCATTGAAAGGTTGGTAGTTCAAACCCATCCTGAGGTGCCTTGGAAGACAGGCCTGGTATCTGCCCCACCCCCCACCCCCACCCCAAAGTCACAGCTGTGGAAACCTCATGCAACCCAGAACAGAACTGTAACCCTGCACACATGGGGTCATCGTGAGTTGAAACCAACTCAGTGACAGTTGGTTTCTAGTTTTGTTTATTGAATTCAAACAATAGCTTTTTTAAAAAAGGTTTTATGAGACTATGATAGACCTGCTGCTATGCATCAAGGCTAAATTTTCCGGAAGGCTCTTCCCTTCCTGGAGACTGGGATCCCAGAGGAGATCTCAGAGGGTCTGCCTGCTGAGCAGGGTGTCTGGGAGCACTGCAATTCCTCCTGACCTGAAAATTTAATGAGCCTTGTTTAAGCTGAACAAGAGACACCCCATGGAGAGCTGTGATAACTCCAAGAATGTAATTTAGTTCTCCCACTTCACTGCCCCATGCTCACCTTTGGTGGGATGATATTTTCCTTGTTAGGCTTTTATCTTGTTGGAAAAAAACAGCCATTTCCCAGAGAGTTAGAATTGCCCAAGGAACACAACTGGAGGGTAAGGAATCAGGGAGGGGCTATTGCTGGCAAACCGATGAAAGTAACTATGGAAATAAGTAATGTTGAAAGAGGGATGGGTAGCAAACATTGGTGACGGGTTTTCTTGTGACACAAAATGTAACTTTGGATAACAACCTTCCCCAGGACCCAAGAACTCATTCCATGACCTACCATTGCATAAAAAAGTCACTCACCTTTGCTAGATCAGGAGCAGTGGAAGGAACAAAGATTCAGGCTTACTGATGCTGAATCTAAAATGGTCTTTAAGAGATCATGGATTCCATTTTCCTAGCCCAGACATTCACCATTGCTTGATCCACTTATAAAGATCTAGTGGGAGAATTTCAGGCCAAAGGATGCCCTGGCTGGGTTTTCTAGTCACACGTGAAAGGCAGATCTATACCTATAGTGGGCGGGGGAGTGGGAGTGGGCATGAGCACAAACCAAGGGGGTAGGCCGTGCTGCCCCCACCTTCTGCCATGGACTCTGGGACATTCACCTAGGAAATGAAGCCCAGACAAATCCAGGAC